AAAATGCATGGTCTATAGCCCACCAAAATGGCCAAAAATGACCGATTTTTGATCAAAATGCATGGGCTATAGCTCACCAAAATGGCCAAAAATGACCGAATTTTGATCAAAATGCATGAGCTATAGCTCACCAAAATCGCCAAAATGACCGATTTTTGATCAAAATGCATGCGCTATAGCTCACCAAAATGGCCAAAAATGACCGAATTTTGATCAAAATGCATGAGCTATAGCTCACCACAATGTCCAAAAGTGACCGATTTTTGATCGAAATGCATGGGCTATTACCCACCAAAATGGCAAAAAATGACGGATTTTGATCAAAATGCATGGGTTATAGCTCACCAAAATGGCCAAAAATGGCCGATTTTGATGAAAATTCATGGGTATAGSCCACCAAATTGTGTAAAAAAGGTCGATCTTTATAAAAATGCATGGTCTATAGGTCAGTAAAACGCCTAAAAATGGTTGATTTTTGTTCAAAATGCATGGGATATAGCCCACCAAATTATTCAAAAATGGTCGATTTTTGATCAAAATGCATGGGTTATAGACCACCAAATTGTGCAAAAATGGTCGATTTTTGATCAAAATGCATGGGCTATAATTGTTTATCAAAATGATCTTTTTAGGTGTTCTATAGCCTATGCACTTAGGTAAAAAGTCGACCATTAACAATAGCAAATATACAAGGAAAACCATGTTTTGTTGGCTACAATAATTTAAAAATGAAGGACAATCAGTCAATAAAGATCTTTGTATCATTGTTTCAGCTGAAGGATAGTGACTAATATTCACKAAATCAAAAGCTTTTTGTAGTTTTTTTTCATGGTCATTACAATTTGAATAACCGCAATAAGCGGCCTATTATARATTCAGATGTCATGGAGGCCAGCCTTGACGTCGTMATATGCTGTAGGCATGACTCCACACAGTTTCTTGAAGGACAGTCTGAAAGACATGAAAACAGCGATGTTGTGTTGTTTAGATGATCTACGATAACCCGAGGTTTAAAAAGAAAAAGGAGAGATATATTTATGTTAATATGGATGAAAGCAACACAGTATAAATTTGCTGATACCGATCGTAGCCCCTTGTTTTCCCTCTGCATCAAATCAACAAATGCAGACAAATACAGGTTAGCTACAATTGTTGTCAAAAAAAATCTTGGACCATAGAATTATTTGTCTCCAGCCTAACATTTCTTT